AAATTTCGGGCCTTTGAGTAGCGACTGAAATGTGTATTGAGTTTCAAAGATGGTCAAAAATCAAAACTTACCCTCAAATGCTTAGTCAGATCTTGTTTACAAGTTCTATAATCAGGCATTTCCTGACTGAGGTAATTACTTCAATGCCATTTTATTTCAGCAATCTTTTGGTGCAGCTGCTCAGATTAAGACTTTTAAGTTTGTGCGTTTACATTTCTTGCAGTAGACATTTGATATTAAAAGTACTGTTCTGATATCTGCATTAACCCAGCCCTAGTAAACTAGGGGTTTGGTAAACTGCATTGGAATGAACACAGATACTGGCTGGACTCGGACCAACTGTCGGTGGATCTGCAGGACTAAGCTCCTCCATCTCATCTGCTCCTACGGTGTTTCAAAGGCAGGATCCCACCACACCCCCAGCCCTTTTTTAAGAAAATCTAAGATTTGGCATGACGACGGTGATGTAACTAGATCTATAACAAATGTCCTGTGTAAACCCTATTTGTTTTTCATTTTAACAAGTAATACCACTGAAAGTTGGTAAATATTGGAAAACAGTTTATACACAGACGAGTGGAATGTGCCTACATGCATTCAAACACACATGCACACAAAGAGGGCAAATGCCTCCAGATAAGCACCATCTTCTAATCCCTGCTGGAGCCAGCCTTTTCTCCCTGCCGCTATCTTTCTCTCCGCGAGCTGCGGTCTGAAGGGGGCTCCCTCCTCTGAGAGGCAGGACGAGCGGGGGGCTTATATCTCCAAAGCCAATGTTGCAAAGCTGGATTCATAGTGTGCGTAGCCATACCCCCTGCCCACTAATCCACCACTGAACATTCCTTAGGGCCTTCCTGGGGGCAGAAGGGAAGGAGGCAAAGGGTGAAGCCGCAGGGGAGGAGGCGAAAGCCCTGACGTCTTAACCTTGTCGCTCACACTCTAAAGGTGCCTAATTACTCACCCCTCTTCACGTGCTCCTGTTGACACCCAACAGCTCTTCACACCTTCTCTTCCTCTCAAAACAAGCAACACTAACACGATTCTCATTGTAAAACCTGAAAATAATCTATATTCAAATGAGTCTTCCCATTTTATGTTTCAATTTTTGTAACCAAATCTAATATAAAAGGTTTCAGTGTAAACTGTTCCAAGTACCCCCCACCCCCAACTCGACCTTCCATGCTGCACTGCAGCCCTGTGCAAATTAAAGCTCATAATGATAAAATCCATGATTGGTTTTCATAATTAATGAGCAGATCAAAGTCTGAGCCCACTGAGGAAAGCACAGCCGCAACTGGTCGATATAAGAGAGAGAGAAAGAGAGAGAGAGAGGGAGGGAGGGAGAGAGGGAACAGGAGAGGATTCATTTTTAGCATCTCCAGCTTAACTGCTGCTACTATACACACAGGGAGGAAATTATTTGCAGCTAATTCTGCAATTGGATTGCTCGGATCCAGATTTCTGTTAGGCTGCGAGTGCAAGGATCAGATACATAAGACCTCCAGGGGTCCTCTCTGCTCTTCTGTTTGTCAGAAACTTGGTGGATCTTTATAAACTGGCAAGACCAAGATTAACAGTTAAATGGAGAGTATTACATCATAAACTGTACTACATAACACATCTCTGAAATGTAATGTGTGTGTGTGTGTGTGTGGTGTATTTATGAGTAAATCCTTGTCAACACATTTCTTTCCTACTTCCACTAGAAGTGTGTTTGATGCACGATTCTTCTGACATATGTGGAGCACGGTTTCTTTATACATCTCACGGCGCTGTGTACTCTTGTGATCAGTTCTACATCGTTATTTATAACTGGCCCCTCAGAACCTCCCAGCCTCAGCATCATCTTCATCACTGCCTACACCCTGTCTGATCCCTCTTCTTATTTTCAGCTGGCAGCCACATGAAAAGAAAGCCTGGAGGAAAGAAAAGGTGCGGGACAAAACTATGGAGGGCCCGTGTCGTTTTGCATTTGTAACAAGCTGCCAAAGTTTCCAGCTGTGCGGAGCCAAGGAGCTCGTCCAAAGTGCTGCACAGCTCCTCTGCAGCTGTCATGGCTGCAGCTTGATGTTGTTACTGAGAGGCAAAGAGTGCAGAGGGAGAGGGCAGCAGAGCTCGGCGTACCATCCCACAGGCTGCTTCAAATGACTTCACGCTCAGAGCTGATAGGCAGGATGACTTTGCTGTGACACATTTTGGTTTGTCTCTACTGATTCCTGACAGTGCTGGCAGTAGAAGGTCAACACTCAGGTTCTCAGCTCACCATTACTGCAATAGTTATTTCTGGACTTTACATGTGCTGCAAAACTTTTGCATACTGTACATTTGAATTATAAAATTTCTCTATTAAACCCCTGCTGGGGAGTCACCTGCCGTTATAATATCAACATAACATTACTACACTAAATAGAAACAAGCAAGTCAAAAACATTTTTTTTACTTTTAATAAAGTGCTGTCCTGGTGAGTCCTAAAACCCAGAACTGAGTAAGCATTTTTACACTTCGGGTCCCAGTTACAGACTCTGGAGATCAAGCTATTGAAAAGGAAGCAGGAAGAGAGTGACCAGTCCCCTAAATGTTTAAAGTAAAGACACTGGGTTACACTAGTTCAACTTTTACAGATGTGTGTAACCTAATTTGTGGTCTTGTTGTGTGGATGTTCTTATAGGGTTGGTCTGTCCATCCAAATAATATTCAAATAGTTTTTTTTCTGTCCAACAGTGCAGCTAACGGATGGCTAGCTGTAGGTAACGTTAGCTAACAGCTGTATGCTAACGGTACTTTATTATTGTCAGCTCTTTTGCATCTCTGTGGCTATTCACTGATGCAAGGTTGCATAAAAAGGTCTACATTTATGGTGAAGATAGTTAATATAGTCACTTCCCGTGAAAGAGCCCCTCGTTCTCAATGGGGCGAATTATTTCCTGGGTAAAGGTCAATACTAAAACATTTCACAGCTGGACTCATTTTGACAGGTAGCCTATTTGTTAAGCTCTAGTGTAGTCTTTGTTTGCAAACATGTACTTCCAGCAGTGCATGTGGACACAGTACATACTATACAGAGTAAACAGTTTTAATTAATTTAATAAGTATCCTGTTTGACAGGTGGAGCTCCTCCGCATGTATTCTGGTGCATCCTGTTCTTTGCGGAGCAGAGCCAGTGTTCAGTTGACCACAAGCAGAGACATGAATAAGCTGCACATGTGCTTGCCAGAGTTCCTAGGGTTTCATCCTCACTGATATTAAACTCATAATAAGGAAACAAGTGAAAGAAAAACTGTCACGATATTCAAAAATGTAAAAAGTTAGCCTCTCTCTCTACAATGTTATTTTATGCGTTTCATTCTTCCATACAAGCTCACCACATCGGCATTAATAAATATTCAATTTACAGATTGTCACTCCACATGCGCAGTAGGGTTCTCATGGTCAAGCGATCGTGTTATGAGGGTCAAACTATCATGGAATATTGCTTTTATGGCATTATGGGGAAACAGACTTGCCCCTTGGCGGAGGTCGCCCTTTCTGAGTGCCGTCTAGGTTTTACATGTCTAAAATGTTGTTGCTAACAAGCGGCTAAATGAGACTTCAGAGGCTGTCTGGGATATTAACTGTCATCGCACCGAACACAGAGACTCATCTACTCACTAGCCCAGCTTTACAGCCTTGTTATTTTTAAACTCATGCACTTGCACACAGTCATGAAGCTCGATCAGGTGACGCTAAGAGGAAAGGATTTTGTGGAAGAGCTATAAATCAAATTACAAGTTGGAAGCTATGGCTGTGATGCTGAAGTCACGAGACCATGGTGTAGTTTGTTTACAGCCTAACAATAGCTTTTTAGTTCTGGCCATCATATTTGTGCTTCAAAAATAAAAGTTGTGTTCAATTATGTCACAGGATCATACGATTCAGTGCTTCTTTTATCATCTCTATTTATTCAGTCACTGCCAGATGCCAATTAAGGTTTTAGTCCCACAGCATCCCTGGGCTTATGGCACCTTAAATAAAGATTATTCCAGTTAGTTCTGAACTTATAAAGATTCACAATTTTGTGAAAAGAGAGCAGTAAAGAGTGAAGCTTAATCAGAATTTTAGTAGGAGAGAAAAGGTTGAATTGCACATAATTAATCATCCTTCTATTGCTTATTGAAGTAGCTGACATGTGAAATGGTAGAAAAGTCTTGTCCATTTTGAACATGTCACCAATTCTTTGAGTGTTTTAAGCAAAACGATGACAAAAACATCCAAACTATTTGGAAACAAATTTATCCAGAAGTCCTACTAAAGAATGAAAATACAGCTGTCGAAGAGTAATGAGCGAAGACGTTTGTCTTTGTATTTCACCCAACTGCCACAGGCTGTTAGTGTTCTGTCATACTCTGGTTCCTACCTTGTTTGTTGTTGGCATCCTGGGGGTGATGGCCAGAATGAGATCCTGGAGCAAAGTGCTCGTCACTGTATGTGATCAGCGGGGTGAGAGGGTGGACCGCATGGGACGGCTGCACCACAGGGACTTTGTTGGACTGTGGAGGAAAAAAAAAAAACACAATATGAAAGTGTGATGACATTATACATGAGCTTCAACTGCATTATTTCATGTGTAATATGGCTCAGTTCCCTGTCACATGATGTGGGGACTGGTACGGCACAGAGTGTGGGTGGTCTACTGTGCAGCATCGAGGATCCTTAAAGATGTGAGTGAAGAATTATGAATTATGGCCAAGAAAAAAAAAGGGTTGCAAAAAACTAATTTCTTCTTTTTTAGCAGCCTGAGCCCACACCTCAAAACTTTATTTAGCAGGATCAGAAACGCTATTCCCTCAAGGAAGGAGGAAAACAAGTCAAAGAAGTGCATGAACATGTTTGAATCAGCAAAAGAGAGAAAGACACCAACCAAGGTTGAGCAAACAGGAGTGAACAAGCGATGGAGCAAAGAGAGGCTCGCAGGGCAGAGTTGAGGGGGGAATGCAGCCCTCTCCATTGGGTGACTGGGTTCAATGTAACCGCCACCAGCACCGCATGGGGGCTCTGACAAAACGGCACAACCCCGTGTGGTGAAAAGGTTGGATCTGGTTCAACTTTTGCTGCATCATTCAACAAAGGTGCTGTGAGACCAGTCACATATGGGCGATGGTCGGACCATCGATGTACACGGGAAGAAAACTATAGTTTACCCTGTTAGCATTCACTGCTATTCACTGTTGAATTAGGCCACAGTTAACACACCATAACACGCCATGTGTTTTCATTAGTTATGTAACTGTATGCTAAACAGTTTTTTTTTAAATAATCTATCAATGCCCACTCATTGGTAGTAAATACTGGTGCTATGTTAGCAGCATGGCAAACCAAAATACAACGGAAGCTCACGGCCTGGTAACGTGAATGAAGCCATGGACTCGTCCCAACGTCGTACACACCTACAACCCCTCACCCCTGATCAACGCAGCCCCTTGCATTAAAACACAGCAGGGATTTGTGTTTTTGCAGGATCAATGTGAATGTACCGTTAGAGCAGAGGTCTTAGCCAGGAGATCAAAGGCAGTCATTAGCTGGTGAATAAGGGGAGTTCATTACAGAGCAAGAGCCGAGGGAAGGATGAGGGATGGGGGGGGCTATGGGAGGAGAGAGAGCTTGAGGGAGACAGATGTCTGCTGCAGTACTTAATGCAGGGATAGTCACGGCAACAGCAGCCCGGTCTCAGGGCCCCTGTTCCCCAGCTGACTCAGAGACCTGCCACCTATCAACTGAAATAGACCCAAGCCAGGCCCAAGAAGCCCCCGGCCCCATCCCACAGTGCTCACAGGCTTCAGTGGCACTGAACACATGGTAATGCTTAGCCATGTTAAATCTACTGTTCACAATTTGAGCTAGAGCTGAGCTGGAGTCAAAATATCACCTCCACAGGATTTGTGGCTAATTGGAGAGACGTGTCACAGCGAATGGCTCCCACAAGTTTTGACTCACCCAGAAAACCTTCATGAACCTTTGTTCCATCAGACCATGTGATCAGTCTCCTGATTAATAATGATTAAATCCTTATCTCCATGTAGTTTTAGCACAGGATTCATAAAGATATGCTTTTTTTGTTTACCCGCTTAGTTGCTGCTTGTTCTCTATTGCTGTTGAAACACAGGAATTTCCCCATTGTGGGATCAATAAAGTCCTACCTTGTCCTAGTGAGGTATGCCAAAATAACATTCCTGCAGTGCCAACTGGTGACTGGTGTCCCTCCTCAGCCACTCCCACCACACACACACACACACACCCTCCTGGACACAAAAGTGGCTGGAATGTCTTGTTCTCCCCAAACCTCTCACAGACTGGCACCACCTCACACATTCAGACCAATCTCTCCCTCTCCCCACCTTCTGGCAATGTCCAAACCAGAAGCACAATGCCCAGTATGTCTAGTGTGTGTTCAAAGATCCCGGCGTCCCCAGCTACATGAAAAAGCATCCACATCAGCTGAGAATCTCATCTCCCAGGACTAATTTCTTATATGAACCTCAAACTCATCTGGCACAGTCCACAATGTACTACGGGAGGCTGCACACCCCTCCTGGGGAAAACAAACAAACAAAACCAAACAAGAGAAATCTGGCCTGAAGACTAATTAAGCCATGCTAGTCCAGGTGAGGCGAGATCTTTGACCCTGGTGAACAGGAGCCAAAAGGTGACAAGATAATCTATGAGAGTGGGATTAGCAGAGGGGAGGGTTTATCAGTAATGGTTGCCCAGGACCAGGGCAGCTAGGACATGCCTACACCAGGGGCCAAATAAGAGCATTGTCACCCATATTATTTTACGCCTCTCCACTCCCACTCGTTATCCTGTGGGAATGAAATAAGAACCTGGGGCATCATCATTTTATGTGGATGTCTTCCCCAACTTGTGGCAAACAGAAAGAGCAGGCAACTGAAAACAAAAAGTTAGTCTCACATACATATTATGATACCACAAAACATAAAAGGTGATTGACTTCTTAGCACCTAAGAAAGTTGGTGGTTTCTACCATAGAAGCAAAGCCCTCTTTGTTGTGCTTTTCCCAGTTACAGCTGTCAAACCCCATTTTTCTCAACTTCTTAATAAATTGCCTCCATTGTGGCAAAATCCACCAGGGAAAAACCAGCAGGCCTCTGTGACCAATACGGAATTTATGGCTGTTAGGGGTGCACACATTTACACAAACTACCCTGACTATGAGGAAGAAAAGAGCAGCAATAAATTGTCGTACATCATATTTCTCTAAACACCCATATAGTATGACGGAACAAACTGTCAGGGTTAAGCAAAATCCTCACTACATGTCATTATGTGCCAACAGCCATCAGAGAACCTCCAGTTTAATTCTTCCAGGTGGAAACTTGTTGGTTTGCTGCACCCACTTCGCAGCTCTTGATAAGTTTACACACAAATAGCACAACATCCACCAACCATCTTCCTGTAGGAGAAAGATGGAGGCACTCAACTGACCACAACTGTGAGGATCATAGGATGTTGCAACAATTTGATCCCCTCTTATCCCCAATCTCGACTCAAAGTACTTGGAGGCAGCAGGAGCGGTGCTGCAATTGAGGACAGCCATATTGGAGGTCCCTTTTATTGTATAGGAGAAATAATAGGCTTAGGATCTTTTTATTCATTTTTCAGAACGGGCAAAAGAGAAGAAGGGGTGAGGACTGAAAAGAAAAACGTTCCGTTTGGACTTTCATATCCAGGCTTGGCCAGCCGTTTTACAGAACCCCTCAGATGTGGTTTTAAGAGAAACTCATTGTGTGGACCTGGAGCTGGCAGGGAGCCCTCCGTGGAGGAGACACTCCAGTGTGTTTCAGCTCAGGCAGCCAATGACTTGGCATGCTGTCTGAAATTGGGGAGTGGGGAAAGAGAATGGGATGTTTCATTTTTGTTTCTTTTTCTCAGGGCATACTGGTGTCTGTAAGCCTGTATTCCATCAGATTCCACCAGCATCCTGCCACAGTTGCTAATCATAGCTGTGTCTCTAAATGTGTGTATGTAGTATATGGAATAACTATCCCTGCAAAATTGCCCCCTCCCAAAAGCACAGCTTTTGTACTCCACTCAATTATACCACTTCTGCAGAGTAGAGTGGAAAAAAAGGAAAGCGGGAATTTTATAATAATCACTTCCCACTTCTGTAATTTATATGCAATGAGGACTCTTCGCGCCTGCAGCTACAATCAAGTGTGTAGAAACCATGTGAGGTGTTTCACAAACAGCTGGGGAGATGGCAGCTAAAGTGGTGGCTGTGGATTCCCATGCTGCTAAATCTTTTCACTAAGAAGAACTTCCTCACCCCAAAACCCCACCTCGCTTACTCACAGGATTTTCTGCACTGCAGAAAAAGGATGCATCACTAAAATAAGGCCTCAGATATAAACAGAAAAAAGAAATCATTTGGTGACTGCAAACAACATGATCAATAGCAGCAGTAAATTTCCAATAAAATACAAGTCCCTCCTAAAGTAATCATTCAAAAATAACTGGCAGAGAGCACACACCCTCCACTGATTGTTTAAATACAGTATTTGGCTACATTTCCCACCGACAATGTACTGACAACATGGACAAAATAACAAATGGAAAGCCTCCTTTAATGCTGGAAGTTGGAGTGAAGTAAGGGTGTGCCCACTGCTGAAATCCTACAGTCACACTCAGACCAGGTGTGTTTGTGTGCAAGTTGTCCAACCTTTTCCCAACAAATGTGAGCAAACATTCTCCCATGCCAATTTCACACTATAAAAAAGAAAAGCGACTGTACTTCCCCCTCCTCTTTACTAAAACCAGACCAACCTGAGGAAGTTAAATAAATAGCCAATTACCATTCACAGAGCGGGTTAAACTCCACCAGCTTCAAGTGTGGTGCTAAAAATGGAATGTTTTATTGGCAGGATGGCCCCTTGGCCAGGGGGGCTTAAATGTAACGAAACCCAATTAATGGAGAAGAAAGCTGGGCCGCGAGCAAGCGAAGAAGCGCCACGCGCCCAGGGTAATCAGACGAACAAGCGGAGCCAACCAGAGGGACAGGAGCGGAGGAGGCTACCAATAACAGGAAAAGCCTGCCCTGGGGAGAAATTTACATCTGTGGAGCCCCCCCAAATCTGTCCTCCTCTCGCTTCCTTTCTCAGTGATCATTCCTGTCCCCTACTCCAAAAGGTGAACACGTGCAGAGAAAGTGAAGACACAGGCCAGCTGGTAAACATGGAAAACCCACCAAAAAGTTCCCACACCTGAAGAGTGTGGTGTGGCTGAGCTACACACAGCAAGAGAGGCGTGTACCATATGCACAGGTGTTTTAGTAGCCAAGTGTCCACACAAAACTTAGCATGAAAGAAACTCTTCCTCTAAATGTAACCGTTACACTCACACTGGTGCACAAACTAAATGTCAGATGTTTCACATGAACACACAACCAACACACGCCACTGTATTAACATGAAATTCACACACACACACACACACACACACACACACCACTTCAAAAGGAGCACATGTTGTGAAA